CAACTCGGCCAGCTCGTCCAACGGGTCGAGGACTGCGTCCATTGTGCTGATGATCGGTGGGTTGTCGTAGTTCTTGGTCTCTGACGGTAGGCGTCCCGTCTCACCATTCCGTCCAGGGTCGGGTAGTAGTCGGCTAAAGAGGCTGCTGCGCTCCAGCCGCGGCGGTCGCGGTGGGCTTGCGCATCTGGCTGAGCATCTTCTGTGCCTTGTCTTCGAGGTCGAGGTCCTTGTTGATCGCTGGTACAGGCTGTGCAGCGAAGCTGCCGTCAGAAGTAGCGCCAGCAGCAGGTGCGGGAGGCTCATCGCCTGGCGCCGCTGTCGATGAGGCCGCAGAGCCATCAACGTCCGCTGCGGCTGCCGCTGGGGGTTCGCCTGCTGCCGCCGAAGCGGCGGGCGGAGATCCACCTCCCACTCGGGCGTGACCGTCCTCTTCGGACCGCTGTCGCTTGGCGGCGAAGCGCGTGCGCATGGTGCTGGCCTCTGTGCGGAGCTGGCTGATGCGGCTGGCGGTGTTGCCGAAGAGCTCGGTGACCTTGGCCTTGAGCTCCGTGGCGAAGCGCTGCTGAAGGGATTCCCATGCCTGGCGATCGCTGTCGTCGATGTCAAGGCCTTGGAGATCGAACGCCGAACCCGCTTCGATGGATATGTCACCGTCCTCGAGGAGGCTGGCGAGGTTGAACGTCGGGTTCTGCTGCGAGGCCGTGGGAGTAGCAGTGCCGCCCTTGCGAGCGACTTGAAGGGCATCAAGAGCGGCTTGAGCCTCGGCCTGGGCTTCTGCCAACTTGTAGGCGGCCTCCTCCGACGCCGCCTTGCGCTCAGTGTACCAGCTGAGCGCCTTTTGCTCACTCTCGAGCAGCCTCTCCAGGTTGTTATTGCAGCGGCGCTCCGTGGCCTGGGCGCGGCTGTAGATGTCGTTGAGGTCGGCTGGCTTCTGCGGCTGGGGGGGCGGGATCTGGGACTTGATACCGTCGATGGCTGCCTTGTCGATGTGGGGGGCGATCGCCTGGAGCTCCGCAAGGATGTCCTCTGCGGAGCGCACCTTGGGGGTGCCGTTCTTGTTGGCCCACCAGTCGTCCTCTTGGTTCTTGCCATTGCCATTGCCTCGGCGGCGGCGGGACTTGGGCCATGACGACCACGGTTCCCATCCCGTCTCGGGGCTGGGCTGCTGGGTACAGCTGGAGTCGGCTTGGGCTGCGGCCTTGGCGCGGGCCGCCCAGGCGCCTTGAACTGGAGGCGGGGAGTCTGTCCACGGCGCCAAGGCTTTGCTGCACCAGTAGCACGTCTGGTTGGTCTTGTAGTTCCAGGAGTACGAGCAGGAGTAGCACTTGACATAGGCGCTGCGCTGCTGCGGAGGCGCCATGGACGAGAGAGACTGAGGAAGCTCACCTGCGGGCTGCAGGAGGCACACGGAGAGTTGAACAAAGCTGTCGGGCTCAAGAGCCCTGGCACTGGCCGCGGACTAGCGGTATCCACTTGTTCCACTGTGGAACTAGGCATCTTGAGCCAAAATGGCTACGGAGGAGGAGGAGGAGGGAGGAGGAGGAGGAGGAGGAGGAGGAGGAGGAGGAGGAGGAGGAGGAGGAGGGAGGAGGGAGGAAGGAGAGGAGGAGGAGGAGGAGGAGGAGGAGGAGGGAGGAGGAGGAGGGAGGAGGAGCAGGAGGATAACCAGGAGGATAAACAGCTGAGGAGGAGGAGGAGGAGGGAGGAGGAGGAGGAGGAGGAGGAGGAGGAGGACCTCCTCATCCCTCCTTCTCCCCCGTCCTACATATGGTAGTGGTGGTGGAAAATTTGCCCATCAGTGCTACCACCATCGCCGCGGTCGGGGTCCTCTTTCCCAGGGCCGAAGCACACCGCCGACAGAGGCCCCCCCAGCTTCGCGCACCGCGCTCCGCAAGGCGCACCCTGACCTCCGGCTGCTCCAATCTTGCCGATGCGTGGGCCCCCGGAGGCCCGGCCTGTGATGGACTTCTTTTCCACCACCACCACCACCGCCGCCCCCTCCTCCCTCTTCTCCTCTTCCTTCTCCTATTTGTTTTTTTTCTTCCCTCCTCCTCCTCCTTCCTTGGGGTGTGCCCGAACCGTCCCGAGCAGCCGGCGGAGACCCCGAGCTCCTCCTCCTCCTCCTCCTCCTCCTCTCCTCCTCCTCCTCCTCCTCCTCCTCTTTCCTCCTCCTCCTCCTCCTCCTCCTCCTCCTCCTCCTCCTCCTCCTCCCTCTTCGACCTATCGTAGCGGTTGTGGAACATGGGCCCATCAAATATCTGGGCTTCGTGGGTGGCCGACAAATTGCCAGCAACACCGAGATCCAGGACCATCTTGCCTCGGTGGAGGCCCCCCCCCGTGCGTCGGTGCTGGTGCTCTCGTCCCAGCCTCCAAACCCAGGGGCCGCTTCCGGAGCCCGTCCCTTCCAGTTTCTACGAGCGTCTGGCTGCGGCGGGCCCGCCCTCGTTCGCCTGCCCCGCTGCGCGCCCGACGCTTCGCCCCTCGCGTGCTTCACACTGTTCGCTCGACTTCCGTGCGCCAGTCTTCGCTGCCTGGTGCCGCCCGCGCGCTCCTCGTGGCGAAGAGCCTCCGCTCCAGGGGCCTCCTCCTCCTCCTCCTCCTCCTCCTCCGCCTCCTCCTCCGCCTCCGCCTCCTCCTCCGCCTCCTCCTCCTCCTCCTCCTCCTCCTCCTCCTCGTGAGGTGGGACCACGCCCGTGGCCGCCCCCCGCGGTCCCTCCGCGGAAGCCCTCCTTGCCACCCAGCTGGTTCGCCTCTGCCCCGCGCGGCCCGCCGGCCGGCCGACCGCGTGTTGGTGTCCGGCTGCGCCGCGGGCCCGGCAGGTTGCCGAGCTCTCGCGGGAGAGACCCGCGGAGCTCGCCGCAGTGCGCGCGGTGGGGCGAAGCGGCAGGGGCAGGCGGGGGCCGTCGTGCGCCGAGCGTGGGCCGGGTGGACCGCGTGTGCGGACGGGCCCGTCGCGAGCGGGGGGGGGGCAGAGCGGGCCGTTGGACGTGCTGGCGTGGGGGTGGGGGGTGGTGGTGTTGCGCGTGTCTACCGGCGTGGGCCCCGAATTGTGGGTGCGGGCCTCTCGATGTGCAGTCTCTGTGGTGCAGTGTCTGTATTGCTGAGCATCTGCGGTCCAGGCTCGGCGGTGTAATCTATGGAGTGCAGTCTGTGTTGTGCAATCTAAGGGCTGCGACCCGTGTTGCAAGTTACGTGGTACAATCTGATTCGAAAAATTTGAATTCGTCAACTCTAACGCTCGAAAAAACCTCTCACCCACTAATGCGCAACTTGTGGCAAGAAGGCCGTGAGTGCAATCACTGATCGGAACTTCCAAGTCCCAGCAGGCGCCATCGCGCGCGGACTCTTCTCCTGCACATCCATGGCACGGGTGGGCGAGTGGTGATGATGATGATGATGATGATGATGATGATGATGATGATGATGATGATGATGATGATGATGATGATGATGATGATGATGATGATGATGATGATGATGCTGCTGCTGATGATGATGATGATGATGCTACTGGTGTTGATGATGACGATGATGATTATGATGATTATGATGATGATGATGATGATGATGATGATGATGATGGTGATGGTGGTGATGGTGATGGTGATGGCGTTGATAATGATGGTGACTAGGATAGTGATGGTTGTGGTGCTGATGATTATGATGCTTATGATGATGATGCTTATGCTGATGCTGATGCTGATTTTCTCATCATGATTAGTAATTTTAGTAGTGCCACTGTGGTGATGGTGATGATGATGATGATGATGATGATGATGATGATGATGATGATGATGATGGTGGTGGTGGTGGTGGTGGTGGTGGTGATGATGGTGGTGGTGATGATGATGCTGCTGATGATAAGGATGCTGCTGATGATGATGATGATGATGATGATGATGATGATGATGATGATGATGATGATGCTAATGCTGCTGCTGATGATGCTGCTGATGATGATGATGATGCTGATGATGATGATGATGATGATGATGATGATGCTGATGATGATGATGATGATGATGATGATGATGATGATGATGATGATGGTGATGATGATGCCGACGCTAATGCTGATGCTGATGCCGATGATGATGCTGACGCTAAAGCTGATGCTGATGCTGATGGTGATCAGGATTCAACATGCTTGTTTGAAAAGCAATAATTCTGCCTCTGCGCAAGGGAACCAGGCCGCGAGAAGAGCGCCGCGCGCCGCGACCCATGACGCCGCCACCGACGTCATACGAAGACGAGGCGCCCGCGATCCGCGCCGCATCGCCTCGTCGTTGCCCTGTGGCTCTCGGGCCGCAGCTCGGGTCTTTGGTGGCCGCGCGCGTCGATCCGGGTACCCCGTCCCCCTGACGCTGCCCTTGGTTTCTGGGCGGGGGAGGAGGCGGAGGCGGAGGAGGAGGAGGAGGAGGAGGAGGAGGAGGAGGAGGGGGAGGCGGAGGAGGAGGAGGAGGAGGCGGAGGAGGAGGAGGAGGCGGAGGAGGAGGAGGAGGAGGAGGAGCTCGGGTCTCCGGCGGCTGCTCGGGACGGTTCGGGCACACCCCAGAACGCGCTTGGCGGCGCGCAGCTGCTGACGGGCATCCATCCCGACAGCCGCCAGGGGGCTGACGAAAATGCCAGAGAACCCCACCCCCTTGAAGGCTCTAGGCGGGGCGCCGCTGCCAGAACGGATCATCGAAACAGGAAAGTCGGTAGCAACTCATCGGAGCCTGGCGTACCCTGTTAATTCTGTCTGTAGCGTCGATTAGCGTCGATTAGCGTCTGGGAGTCGATGAGATACCGCCGATTTGGTCTCGGTCAGCGTCGAATAGCTTCGAGTCAGCGTCAATTAGCGTCGACTGCTGTCGACTAGCGGCGACTCGCAAGAGCCGACAGCATGGTATGGGAGGCTCCCATGAGCTGCCACCGAAAGGAAAGCTTGCAGGGAGCCGGCCGAGACGTCCGACCCCCCCCCGAGCCTGCGCCCTCGCCCCGCCCCCCCCTGCCGGCAGGATGAACAGCAGCGCCTCGTGGGTGGGGCCCGGCATGCTTTTCCAGACGCCCGAGCCAGAGGCGGAGGACCCGCCGCTGCCCTGGTTAGGGGGCCACTTGCGAACCCTACCCCTACCCCCTACGATTTCTGAGGGGGAGGGTGGGGTTCACTTCGTTCGGTGAGAGGACCCGCCGCTGCCCTGGTATAGGGGAACAAAGAGTGTCATAAACATAAAAGACTCGGAGGTCCGCGCGGATTTCTCGGATCGGCGCTGGACCCCTCTCCCTGGCGCGCGGAGCGCGCCAGGGGCGGCGCTGGAGGCGCCGCCGGGGGGCCCCAGCGCCGATCCGAGAAATCCGCGCGGACCTCCGAGTTTTTATGTTTATGTCACTCTTTGTTCCCCTATGGTAGGCCGTTTTCTGCCTTCAACCGGTCGGGGGGGTAGGCCCCGACGGAGTTTCGAGGCTCCAGCTTTTCGCATGGTGTCGCCGCTGCTCGGCGGTTTTCCAGCCTCGGGGTGCCTTCCATCGAACAACAAAAACGGTGTACACATAAGCTTTTGGCGGTCAGTGCGGATTTCTTGGATAGGCGCTGGCCCCCCCCGGTAGCGCCTCTGGCGCCGCTACTGGCGCTGTCCATGCGCCACAGAGGGTGGGTCCAGCGCGGATCCACAAATTCCGCGCGGACTTCCAAAAGTTTCTGTCCATGCCGTTGTTTGTTGTTCTCTTCCAGCGGTTGCACCTTGCCGAGGGCGTTTTCCCCGGGGCTGCCAGAACCGCCCCGGGCGAGGACTCTTGGGAGCCTCTTGGGGGTCTCTTGGGAGCCTCTTCGGGGCCTCTTCGGGCTTCCTAGGAACCTCTTGTGCGCCTCGAGTTCTCTAAAAGGAAAGGGCATGGAGGGGGAGGGGGAGGAGAAGGAGGAGGAGACGGCGGATGAGGAGGAGGAGGAATAACAAGATAATCACACATAGTACGCAGAAGCAGGAGCAGACACATATCCATACATATTGTAATACTGCCACGAATACTAGCAATAACACTAATACTACCAATAATGAGAAGACGAGTACGATATTAATAACAAAATTATGATTGGCGGCACTAATACTGACAGCACCACTACCAGTAATAATAAGATGAATAATGAGACGAAGACGACGAGCAAACCACATGATAGTAGTAGGAAAGCTAGCAAGCAGAAACATATTAATACTACCCATGATCATTACATAGTCATGATAACTCATTTTAGCAACATTTATACTCACAACCAGTGTTGCTAGTTTTGACGGTCACAAAACGAATACTGATGATATGTAGAATATTCATAAGGTCATTGATCGTAATCATGTTATCAATAATAGTATGCATAGAAATAATACTAATACTTACAAGAGAAATTAAGCATCTTAATATACTGGCACGAAGAAGAAGAGGAGGAAGCGGAGGAGGAGGAGGAGGAGGAGGAGTCAGCCCCCTCTTCTGTCCATGGAGAAGGACCAAAGGAGTTGACCCCCTGTGACGCCCGAGGCGAGGATCTGTCCACAACCACCGCCCAGGGGATCGGTATTCGGAGCCCTTCCGCAGGCGGCAGACGTGGATGCATTCGGGGCCTGCTTTGGCCCAGATCTGTCCATGGCCATCGCCCCCCGGGGGCCCCAGGATCTGCATAGGTCTCCGCCTCGCACGACGGGGTGGAGGGCCGCTGTCTGCGACGCCACCCCTCTTTTCTCAGACGCAAGGCGAAGGCTGGCAAACCCGTGGCTGGTAAAGCGGAGCTCCGGGAAATTGTTTTATTCTTCCGTGAAGCAGCCCGTTTACTAGTTTGTGCGCCGAGTTTAGTTCCGGGAATTTGTTTTGAATTCCAGGAAGACCGTTTTAGCAGCCACGGATTTGCCAGCCCTCGCCCAGCTTCCGATTTTCCCTGCTGGGATGTGCACAGCTCGAGTCGGGCATCCACTACAGAAATGGTGTGCCCCAGAATCGTTTGTTCGTTGTTCCTTTCGCCGAAGTCAGGGAACAGACGCACCGCTTCTGTAGATCTGCTGGCGTCCCACGTGTGTGCTGCGGCTTCGGCGTGAGAATCAGTTTTTAGGGTACATCGATGCTGTAGTCGATCCCCTGGCCGGACGGCCAGAGCCTCCCCTAGCCCCGCACTTCCCCTGCGCCAGCACCTCGGCTGTACGCCGAGCGAGGAGGGGCCCGCCCGAGCAGACCCGGAGCCCACTGGCCTCCTGCGGGGCAGGGGGCGGCTTTGCTTTCGGGCTGGCATGAGCCGAGCCTCAGTCATTCCGATCCGATCGGGTCCTCCTCCTCCTCCTCCTCCTCCTCCTTCCTCCTTCCTCCTTCCTCCTTCCTAGGGCCCCCTTGGCCTAATGGACAAGGCGTCGGACTTCTAATCCGAAGATTGCGGGTTCGAGTCCCGCAGGGGGGTCCTTCCTCCTTCCTCCTTCCCTCCTCCTCCTCCTCCTCCTCCTCCTCCTCCTTCTTTCCCTCTGCTTCCCCCCTCGTCCCTGTCGGCGCGCCGCCGAGAACAGGAGGTCGAGGCGCAGGACGCCAGAGCAGTCCGCAGCTTCGAGGAGGAGTCTCGGAGATCCTTGTGGGCCCACGGGGATCCTCTTTGGACGCCCGAAGTGGGCACGGAAAGAATGGGTACAATGCCCAACAGCAGTTCCTGCTCATTCTGAACAGGACTCGCTGTCGGTGTCGCTGCGGCCCGTGTCCATTTGAGACAGAAGGCCGCCTGCCCAACAGCGGCCGCTGCTGGTTTGGGACGACATTTGTTGTTGAGCATTGTACCCGTTGTTTCCGCACCCAGTTCGGGCGTCCAAATCCTCAGGGGCCCTGGGGATTCCTCGGAGGCCCACATCTCAGGGATCCGGAGGAATCCCGCGGAATCAGCGCCTGGGGGCGCCTGGGAGCGCCTGGGCGCGCGCCGGGAGCGCCTGGGAGCGCCTTGGGAGCGCTTCGGAGCGTGCCGCGAGCGCCTGGGAGCGTGCCGCGAGCGCTTGGGGAGCGCCTGGGAGCTCCTGGGAGCGCCTGGAAGCGTCTGGGCGCCATGGGCGCCCGAAAGCGCGCCGCAGGCTGTATTTTCATATGGTTTGCGGCCCCACGGACGGCCGAAAGGGCGCCGCATGCTGTATTTTCCCTGTCGTCACTGGCCCCGCTGCAGGACCTGATGGTGAGCAGGCAGAGGAGCTGCGACTCGATCCTGCACTCGCCCAGGCACCGGGACCGCGAGATCGACCGGAGCGCCACCAGGAGATGCGCCCGGCTTCGGCGTCACCCCAACATACTTATACTATGTGTGCGTCGCCCCCCCAGGGGCGACGCGCGCACCGAGCAATCTTATAGTATATACGTCGTGGCGGGCGCTTTCTGGCCATACCGCTCGGGAGACGATATACTACAAGATGGGTATACTATGTGTTCGGGTCGGATGCGCGCCTCCAAGGCGGACATCTAGTATTAGTATGTTTCTGTGCGTCCCATGGCTTCCTGCAGAGAGGGGGATCGTCCGGCCTGGAGCAAGGTGTCGAGCAGATTGCTGCGAGGATGGTCGACCGTATTGTTCAGTAATTCTGAGTTCGCTCGTGGCGTGACATCCCGACCCCGAACCGAACCTCCAGAGGTCGGTTTTGGAGGTCGCCGCGGCGATCCCGGCGGCCACAAGTCGGGGCAAGGTGATCGTCAAGGAGCTTCATGCCCCTTCTCAGACCCCCGCCCCCGATCTGTGGCATGGACGCGGCTCATGATTAGCAGAGTGTGGCGACAAAGAGCTGTCAGTGAATGTCCAGCGTGGGTAGTCGTGTGTTTTTTTGGTGAGGGGTCGATGACCACGCAACCATTCACAGAGACTGGTCTGGGAATATGTGTGCTCGCGGACCTCGTCCACGCCAGAGTTCTCTCTAGGTCTCCCAGATGGGGTCGGAGTAGACGGGGTCGGAGGATCGCGTCGCATTGCCGATACATCGGGGATGTGGCTCGATGTGGAGCCCGATTCTGTCCACGCAAGCGTCGCCGATGCATCGCCGACGAATCGTCGATGCATCGCCGACGCACCGGCGATGCGGCGCGAGCCTCCGACCACATCTGCTCCGACCCTATCTGGGAGGCCTCCAGTTCTCGGCCAGGGTAAAGTCGGGCCTGTCCCTCTACAGAGGGGGGAAATTTTGAGATATGTAAAACAATAGTCCGGGGACGATCTTTAGAGCATTTTTGACCATTTGGGGGATATTCTCTACTATTTTGAATTTTTCGCACAAAATCCCCCTGCAGGGGGACGGGTCCGACCTGAGGCCAGGGCCGCCTGGGCCCAGCGGCGGCCGCGCACCGCACGTGCGCGGCCAGGCGCGCGCCGGTGCACGTGCTCACGGGCCTCGCCCACGCCAGAGTTTTTGTTGGGACGCCCGAAATGGGTACGGAAATAAATGGGTACAATGCTCAACAGCAAATGTCGTCCCAAAGCAGCAGCGGCCGCTGGTGGGCAGGCGGCCTTCTGCCTCAAGTGGACACAGGCCGCGGCGACACCGACAGCGAGTCCTTTTCAGAACGAGCAGGAACCGCTGTTGGGCATTGTACTCGCTCTTTCCGTGCCCACTTCGGGCGTCCGAAGTTTTCGCCCAGGGCCGCCTGGGCCCAGAGACGGCCGCGCACCGCCGGGGCGCGGCCCGGCTCGTGCTCGTGCGCAGCTGCGCGGTCGGGAGGTCTGGGCGATCAGGATGGGGAAAGCCGTGCAGACACGCTGAATCGTCGACTCCCAGGAAAAATGGGGGAACATGTGGGAGATAGGGGGGGGAAGCCGCGAGTCCAGAAGTGTGGGGAAATAGGGGGAGTCCTGGGGCTTGTATCTCTTTGTTTGTGTGTCTCAGGGCCCCTGTAGACGAAGCAGGCGAATGCAGGTTCCCGTTGGAGCTGGCTGGTGGTCTGAGGTGGCCTGGCGCTGGTCCCGGCCAGCAGGAGGTGGGGCCAGGGGTTCGAGGGGAGGCTTTTTGTTGCCCTGTTCGGCCCCTGGTGGCCGCTTTCGGGCCCCAGGACCTGCAAAACGGATCCAGTATGAAAAACTGCACCAGGTGGAGCCCTGGAGGGTTCCAGGAACCGATTTTGAGCGGAGTTGCCCTTGTTCCCCTTCCTTGTAGATTTTCTCGGGGCCCATCCGGTTCACACCCTTTGTGGCCGCCTCCAAGGTGCCCCCACAGTTGTTTGCCAGGTCGATCGTTGCTAGTTTCTTCACGCTTCGTGTATCCTTGCTTGCCCATCCACGAGCGATGCCCCTGAGAACCGCCCTTGCCGGGGGCCCCTTGTGTGGCCTTTTAGGCCGTCTTGGGGGCCCCTCTCGGCTTGCTGGGTCGATGGTTTCTAAATCGCGAGCCGGAGAGTGGAGGTAATCGCAGAAGGTCTTCAATGTTGTACCCCCTTCCCCCCCTAAGCGCCCGGCTGGGAATGCTAGTTCTCCCTCTCCTCCTCGCCCTCCCTTTCTCGCCCTCGTCGTCGCGATCGTCGTCGCCCACGTCTTCTCGCCCTTGTCGTCGTCGTCGCGATCGTCGTCGTTGTCGCCGTCTTCATACGGTGCCCGTGCGCAACATGAGCTCGCCATGGTTGTGCTGTGCTGAGCGTGGTATTATTTGCCCACTGTTGTTCGCCGTGCTGGATATTGTTGGGTGGTTATTCCTTCCACTGGAGGATGCTTCCTGGGCTCCCCGCGACAGAGGACCGTTGAGCTTGATTGCGCGAGGAATGCCAGATCGTTCGCTGCGTTTCCAGTCGAATCGGCGCGCCAGGACTCGATTTAAGTCGGGCGTGTCCCTCTACAGGAGGAATATTCAAAAATAATCCAAAAATACTCTCGGGACGATTTTTGGATTATTTCTGGCCATTCTGGATTATTTTTTTTAATCATTTTCGATTCTTCGTCGAAAATCCGCCTGTAGGGGGGCACGCCCGACCTAAGACTCGAACTGTGAGGTCCAACTTTGATTTGGGGGGGTCGGCTCCCCCGCATCAGACGCCGGGGAAACAAGCCCCCCAAATCAAGTCTGGGGCCCTGAGGTCGTCGACTTCGGGGGCCCAAATTTGATTCGGGAGGTCCGAGCTCGATTCGGGGCCCGAATCAAGTTGCGGGGGGTCGACTCCCCAAATCAGCGCGAGCCCGGGAGGTCGCCGACTTCAAGGGGCCCAGGCTGGACTTGGAGGCCCAAAGTTGACTTGGGGGAGTTAGCTCCCCCAAATCAAGTTCGGGGGGCCGCTACAAAAAATCATGGTTGGGCCCCTGTGGTCGTCGATCTCGGGGGCCCGAACTTGATCTGGGCGGTTCAAGCGTGATTCGGGGGGGCCGACCCCCCAAATCAAGTTCGGGGCAGTCGACTCCCCCAAATGAAGCTTGAGCCTCCGGGGTCGCCGACCTCAGGGGTCGAAACATGATCTTGGAGTTCCAAACTTGATTGGGGGAGTCGACTTCCCAAGATCAAATTCGGGGGGGGTCGACCCCCCCAATCAAGTTGACCCAGAGGTCGTGGACCTCGGGGACCCAAGCTTGGTATGATGCCAAAATTTGATTCTTCGGGGCGACCCCCCCGAATCAAGTTTTTGGAGTCGCCTGCCCCACATCAAGTTTGGCCCCGGAGGTCGTCGAACTCCGGGGCTCATGCTTGCCCTGGCAGGTCCAAACTTGATCGTTGAGGAGCCGATTCCCCCAGTTCAAGTCCAGGGAGGTCGACTCCCCCCAATCGAATTGGGGCCCCGGAGCCTGTCGAACATGAGGGCCCAAGCCCGATCGGAGAGGCTCGGGGGCGTCGACTCCCCCGAAGCAAGAGTTTGGGGGGTTCGACCCCCCCCACTCAAGTTTGGGCCCCGGGGCCTAAACTTGATTTTGATTTTGAGGTCCAACCTTAATTTTGAGGAGTCCGAAAGGGGCCTAAACTTGATTTTGAGGTCCGACCTTGATTTGGGGGAGTCGACGCCCCCTCCTCCGTCCCTGCCCCTCTTCGACCACCCCCCTCAATGCTGCCCCTGCTGCTGCTCTTCCTCGCCCTCCTCCTGCTGCTGCTCCCCCTCCCCCCTCCCCCTCCCCCCTCCTCATCCTCGCCCCCCCATCCGCCGCTTCTTCCTCCTCCCCCCTCCCCCCTCCTCCTCCTTCTCTGTCCCCCTCTTCCTCCGCCTCTTCCTTCTCCCCCGTCCTCCTCGCCCCCCCCTCCCTTCCCCCCCCCCGAGTGTCGGAATTTCAGGGCAGATTGTTGTTGCTCAGTGGGTATTGTAATCTACGAGATGAGTTTTTGGAGCCTGGAGATGTGGAAGCCCAGAGCCAACTTGGAGCCGTTGCTGAGCTGAGTGCGCTGAGATTGTTGTTGCTCAGTGGGTATTGTAATCTACGAGATGAGTTTTTGGAGCCTGGAGATGTGGAAGCCCAGAGCCAACTTGGAGCCGTTGCTGAGCTGAGTGCGCTGAGCTCTCCTGAGCCCCCACTTTCTCAGATGTCCCAAGGCTTCCTGGACTTGGTTTACAGGAAGCTCATCTCTGGTCCGAGGAGGGCCTGCCGCCCGATACGTTTCTGTCGGGGAGGTCTGCGTTGACGGGAGCGTGGCCAAAGATGGCCGCCCATGGTTTCGCGGCCAGGCCGTCATCGCGCTAGAGTTAAGTCGGGCCTGTCCCTCTACAGGGGGGAATATTCAAAAATAATAGAAAACCCTGGGGCGTTTTTTTTGTAATTCCAATGTTTGAGCTTTTTTTATGACTATTTTTAATGTTTCGCCCAAAATCCGCCTGCAGGGGGACGCGCCCTACCTAATGCTAGAGCTTTCTGGCTCCCTCTCCGGTTTCCTGCGGGGCCCCGTGGGAGCTGGCTTCAGCGTCGTCGCCAGCACCGGAGTGCCCAGTTGGCCGGCCGGTTCGGAGGTATCACCCAGATCCGTTCTGATCATAAAACGCGTCGTGTATGTTCAAAACCTCCACGCTTTCGCGAATAGGAACAATATTCAGTCGGGCCTGTCCCTCTACAGGAGGATCATGAAATAGCTCGAAAATAGTAAGGGGACTAATTTTTGAGTTTTTTTTTTTTTTTTTTTTTTTTTTTTTTTTTTTTTTTTTTGGTGGTCCCTATTTGCATTTTTCGTTCAAAATCCGCCTGTAGGGGACACGCCCGACCTAAGGATAATACGTCGGACGGTCTTGGATCCCTGGCCAAGCGTGGAGCGGTCAGCCGAGACGATGGATCTGCTATGGGCAAGGTGAAAGCCATCAAGGTTTCAGCTCTTCTGGCCCTTTCCCTGACCAGTGGTGGCACGCCAGTAGAAATCCAGAAGCCGACCGCGTGGCCAAAGGTGCCGCCGCTAAGCCCCCCGAGCCTTCGGAGGTGGAGATATCCCAGTAATCTGAGCTCGCCAAGCGGTTACGTTCCTTAGATACGTTCCTGAGGCCTTCGCCGTACAGCCCAGAGTGGCCCCAAGGGTAGGGGGCAAGGCCAAAAGGTCCCCGTTCAAACCGCTGATCCTGTGGTATAGTGGAGACCCATGCCAAGAAGCACCCTGCTTGCCTCCAGGGTGCCCTTGGTTTCTCGGGTTTCGATGGTGCTGCTGTGGCGAGCGTGACGTTCCCACACCAACAAAAAGCAATGGACGCCCTGGGGTCTCAGGGTTGGGCTTCTTGTGGGAGGCTTCTTGTGGCCGAGCCCACACGGCAGGTGGTCGGGAGTGCTGCGTGCCCTGGAGCTGCCGCGGCCCCTCCCCCCCCTGTGGGGCCCCCATGGAGGCTCTCGTGCGGCCCGCGCCCGGAGAGCCAGAGAGTGCGGCCGCCGGCCCCCGGCCTTCGTTGGCGCTCGAGCTGCTTGACTGATAGGACCAGTGCTGCGTGAGAGGATCGGGGGCGGAAAAGAGGGTGGTGATGACTAGGGGGGGGTGAATATATCATGGCGTGGGCCATGATTTTGCCCCAGTTCTCATGGCGCCTCTTCTTGATTCATTACGTGCCTCGGCCCCCCCAGGGGCCGCGCACATGCCGCCGGCCATGATTTGCGCCCCCCCCTCTTGGACGCCCCCCTCTTGGCCGCTCCCGAGAGGAGGCAGCCTGCCCTGGAAGGGCGCCGGGGCTGGCCACGCTGGCGATCCAGCCTGGTGGTTCCCAGCTCCCCGTGTTTGAGGCAAGTCGCGGTGCACGGTCCAGTGGTTGCGTGCAAGTCTTATGGCAGGTGCAGCGAGCGTCTCCCGTCCTTTCTTGCGCAACGTGTCGCCGGTGTTCGTGGGATCTCCGTTGCAGCGGGCGACGCCCTCAGGAGCTCAAACAGGAGCCACATTGTGCACCGAGCCCCGATCCCATGCAGGCAGCAGCCCCAGGTGCTGCCATGCAAGCGCTCGAGTCGCCACAGCAGGTCGTGCCCCCCCCCTCCGAAGCCCAGGCTCATGCGGCCCGGTCTTTGGGCGCCGTGGCCGCCCGATAATCCGGGCTGGTCTTCGACGTCCGGTCTTCGACGGGGCCCGTTCGTCAGGAGGGGAAAGAACACACAGACACAATTCATCGTCGATTCCCCAGAAAATATGGGGAAAGATGGGAAGTGTGGGGGCAGACAAAGACCCCGAAGATGTAGGAAGATGTGGGGAATCCCTTTTAAGTTGTGTGTATATATTTTGTGTGTGCTTGTGGGCCCCTTCAGTTCTGCCGAGGGGGCACGGGCGGGCTCCCCCGTGGAGCACACACGGCTCAGGCGCTCGTTTCGCTTCGCGGAGCGACACACGGCATGGGCGCGGAAAGTTGTATTTATGGAAGCACGAGAATGGCCGGCTCAAATCTTGAACTGGGCTCCACAGCTGGACCTACGCACGCCAGCCCGGCGACGCCCAGGGCGCCCTAAGACCCGATGGGTTGACGATATCAAACAACATGTGCTGACCACCCTTGGCCACGACGATTGGACACAGGTTGCGATGTTAGAAATGTGGGACCAACTGAAGGACGATTACATTAAGATGTGAGCGGGCCTCGGCCCTCCCGGCAGCTCCCTCGCGGAGCCTTGCGCCGGCTTCCGTTCCGTTCCGTTCCGGAGCGACAGTGGGCCCGCGGCCCCCTGCCAGGATGTACAGCAGCCCGTGCTTGACGACCCAGAGCGTCGTGGACGTGCAGACCCTCCAGGACTGCCGGCGGCGCCCGTCCGGACGCCCGCCGTGGGAGGAGGGAGATAGGAAGGATGACGAGGAGGATGATGAGGATGAGGATGAGGATGAGGATGAGGATGAGGATGAGGATGAGGATGATGATGATGATGATGATGATGATGATGATGATGATGATGATGATGATGATGATGATGATGATGATGATGCTGATGCTGATGCTGATGCTGATGCTGATGATGATGGTGGAGGTGATGGTGATGGTGATTGTGATGGTG